CCAGCCCCAGCCAGTCCCAAGGTGAGCACAGTGGGGCTGGGGAAGGGTTGGGGGGGCAGCACATCTGTCCAGGCAGGGACGGGGGGGAAGGTGTGGGAGTACCCTAGCATGAGCCCCCAAAGAAAAGTGGGGTATGGGGCAGGGCATGGTGGGAAATGGGCAGGATAGAGGATGCTGCATCCCCAGTGGCTCTTCCTTGTCCCGTCCCAATGCCTCATCTACCAGGACAGCACAGCTGCCAGAGGGGTACTGCTCCTGGGGGAATGTCATTACTAGAGGGAACCTGGCCACCTCAGGCACTCTCCAACCCAACCCAGGGGCTTCAGCTGCTACCAGGTGCCTGTCACCACCCCAGGCCCTCCCCACTCTGGCCCCAGAGGATATGGCCACCCTGGACACCTGTCACCAGCCTGGAGGGGACATGGTGACCATGGGCACGCTCCAACCCAGCCCCAGGGGATTCAGCTCCCTGGGCACCCATTGCCCACTGCAGTGGGATGGTGGGGGGTGCTGTTGCCAGACCCAAACCCACCCCTGACTGCTGCCTTCCTGGCCAGGCTCAGCCTCGCCGTACGTGCCCACGGTGTGCAATGGCCGCGAGGTGGTGGACTCCACGACGTCATCCTTGTGAAGGACAGGGGAGCCAGGCTGTGGTGCTGCCACACGGCTCCCCTGCTGCCTCCCCAGGGACAGCAGCACCTGTGGCACAGCCTGCTGAGGTACCAGATGCTGCCAGGAGGCTCAGCCTCTGTCCCAGCACGAGCTACATATCCCATGTGTCAGGTCATGGTACGTGTCACCCTTCCCTTGCACTGAGTCACGTTACATGTACCCTGTCCTCTGCACTGAGCCCATGGTGACCATCCCGTCCCTGTGCTGAGCCATGGTGCACATCCCCTGGCCCTTGCACTGAGCCATGGCGCATGTCCCTCTGCGTCACCTGCACTGAGCCATTGTGGACCCACACACCCCTGCACTGAGCCATGGTGAATGCCTCCCCCATCCCCTGCACCACAGTGCACATCACACGGACCTTGCACCGAGCTGTAGCGCACGTCCCCCATTCCCTGCACTGACTGTGGCACAAATATCCTCCTTGTCCCTTGCACTGAGCCCTGGTGCAGCCTGACCCTGCCTGCACCCAGCCCCAGGGCACATCCCCTGCCCCTCACTCCCAACCCTGGTGCACAACACCTCTTGCCAAGCCACATTCCAACTCCCACTTTGCTTGTGCCAATCCAGGTTGCACCTCCCACTCCCTCCCTGTGCCAGCACATGCTGCCCAAGGCCCATCACCCACCTGCTTTCGCGGTGCAGGGCCTTCCCCATCACCCGCCGAGCCAAGCTGTGCCCCATGTCACCCCTTCCCCTGCACTTTGCAGTTTCACCCTTTCCTCCCGGTTTTGGCCCCAGGGAAAGCTGCTGAGTGCGGCTGGGCCGGGCCCAAGCCCCCTCTTGTTCCCCTCGCTGTGCACAGCACTTCTCACCTCTGTCGGAGATAGTGCAGGAGCAGGGGTGAGTGACTGCCTGCTGCCTCCAGCCCCTGCAGAGCCCGGGGGTGCTGTCAGGGGCTCAGGGCGAGTAACAGGACCCAGTATTTGAGCCCAACCAAGTTTTTAAGAGTAGATTTTTTCCTGTGAACAAGAGTGTGATTATTTTTTTTTGTAATTTATGTAAATAAAGTGGTTTTGGTGGTGTTTTTTTTACAAAATGGACTGTTCCAGAGCTCAGGTCCAGCCGAACCTGAGGGAAGGGGACAGACCCTCGCAGAGGGCAGAGCCATATCATGACAAGGGGGCCAGTAGGGTCAGGGACCATGTGACACTCCCCAATCATGTCCTGCTGGCCCCATGGGGGTGGCTGCACCAAAGATGTGGGGCACAGCTCCAGGGACAGGGGCTGAATGACCTGCTCCAGCAGCTCCAGGGCCAGGGGACTAGGAGCTGCCAGGAGATTCAGGGCCAGAGGCTGCGGCCCTCCGCTTCAGGGGGATGATGCAGATGCTGTTTTTGGCTTCTTTGAGTCTCCACCACCGTCCGAGCCTGTATGAGAGAGAGGGAGGTCACCCTCCAACAAGCACAGGAGGAGGAGGGGCTGCACCCCCAGGCAGCACTGGGGAGAGGGGGACAGTACCGGTGCTCCTGCCCGATGCCAGCCACCAGGAAGTCACCGTCTGCTGAGAACTTGAGGCTGTTGACAAAACCCACCTAGAGGGGACAGGGCAGGGTGAAGGGATTGGGGCAGGATGAGGGGCTTCCACAGCCTCCTCCTACCTCCCAGTCAAGCTCCAGCATCCCCAATCTGCCCATCCATCCATCCATACATACCAAGGGGATGTCCCAGAGGGGCTCCAGCTTCCGAAATCCCTCACCACATTTCCAGAGTTTTACACTAGCACTGTGGGAGCCTGGGACAGAGAGAGGAGACTGTCACGCACCCTGACCCTGGGATGGGAGCAGGATACATCCCCTGCACACCCCCAAAAAGCTGCCACTCACCTGTCGCCACAAGGTCACTGTTGCGTAGGGCAGCCACTGCTGAGATCCAGTAGGGCTGCTGCAGGCCCTGGGTGTGCTGCATGCCGTGTGCCTGCCGAGCCAGCGCCAGCGGCTTCTTCTTCATCAGCCCCCACAGGGCTAGAGACCTGCCAGGAAGGCGAGGGGTGAAGAGGCTGAGGGAGCACCCTACCCACCTGTGGCACTGTCCTGTTCCTGTGCTCACCCGTCATCGGCACCAGACACCATGTGCTCCTCGTTGATGAGCTGGATACAGTCGATGGAGCCCCTGTGAAGAGAAGGGGCAACTGCCAGCAGTTACAAGTGTGCTTTGGGATCCCGTTTAGGAGACCAAGGCTCCACTGGGGCATCAGCATCCACACAGTCCTGGTAGGCTCCCAGTCATGCTTGGCACCCACACTCCACTGTCCCACCTGGACATGCCTGCCCCCAGCCTCCTCTCCCATCCCAGACCTACTGGTGTCCAGAAAACACAAGCTGCGACTCCTCAGGGATCTTCCAGAGCCGCACAGTGCCATCTCGTCCCCCTGCAGTCACACAGCACTGCCGGCTCAGGCTGTCCAGCCCCGTGATGACATCCTGGTGCCCAAACCTGGAGGAGGAAATGACAAAGAGCTGTGGCAAGCTGCCCCCTTGCCTTGCCTCCCCCAGGGCAGCAGGCACATTCCTTGGCAGGGTTAGCAGGATGCCCCCAGGGTCTTACAGGGTCTCCACATATGCGTTCTCTGCCACGTTCCAGACCTTGACGCAGCGGTCGTGGGAAGCACTGTACAACTCGTGCGTGCCCTTACGGAAGGACAGGCCCTGTGGACAGACAGATGGACATGAGCACAGCAGTGAGGGATGCCAGGGAGGACGCGGCTGCCTGGTCCCACAGGCACTGGACCCAATGTCCTGACTCACCGAGACAGCGTCGCGGTGCCCTGTGAAGATGTGCAGGCGCTTGCAGGTGGCTGCATCCCAGATCATGATCAGCTTGTTCCTGTCTCCCGTGGCCTGGCAGACAGCAGGAGATGCCCAAGACCTGTCCCTTGGAGACCCACAGCCCATCCCAGCCTCCACTCCCAACCCTATGTGCTCTCAAGGGTCCCAGGGACCCATTCTTGATTCCATAGGGGGTAGGGACTGTTTTAACCTGGCAAGACACATCTGGGCATGACACACTACACCCAGGACCCCGTGAGGAGATGCACTCCCCATGGCCACCTCTCTGCTCCCCGTCCCCGTACCAGGTACTTGCCGTCCGATGAGATGGCCATGCAGAGGATCTGGGATGCATGTCCCATGTGCTGCTCCTCCGTGCCCTTCTTCCCCCCAGGCACCACACACAGCCTCTTCCCACTGTCCACCTCCCCTGCAGGAAAGGCATCACTGTCACCCGCTGGGAGCCTCCCATCACTCCCAAAAGCACCAACAAGCTTCCTACAGAGCCCAGAACAATGCACATTCCCGGAGGAGCCAACGGGCAAGCCACCTCCATGGGCACCCACAGTCCTGCTGCTGCAGTGTCCCCACAGAGTCTGGGCTGGGGAACTGCCTGTAGCAGCCCCAGGTCAACACTTGCATTTGATGAGGGAGCCATCCTTGGAAGCAGAAAAGATGAACTTGTCATCTGGAGAGATGACCAGGCAAGTGACCGGCAGCTGGTGCCCCCGCAGCACACGAATGCTGGCTGGATCTGGAGGCTGCACCTGCAGG